CGAGCACCTCAAAGCCTCGGCCAGACCGAGCACTCAAAGCCTCGGCCAGACCAAGCACTCAAAGCCTCGGCCAGACCGAGCACTCAAAGCCTCGGCCAGACCAAGCATTCAAAGCCCCCGCCAGACCGAGCACTTCAAAGCCCCAGCCAGACTGAACACTCGACCGAGCACTCCAAAGCCAAACAAGAATACATTTTTCACACTTGGTCACATTTTGAAACATCCCCATAACACTTACTTACTCTCACTTTCATGTTTACACTTACTCTCACTCGTCCATTTTGAAACCTCCTCATAACACTTACATTTTTCACATTTACTTTCAAATTTACACTTAACTGTCTAGCTAGAACTTGTAACTTACCCTTTATCCTCATTTGTGGACTTTTACTGCACAAAATTTCTTACTCATTTTTACTGCACAAGGTTTTTATTCATTTTTACTGCACAAACAGTCAGCTGCCAACAGACACAAAATAACATTCGTACACAAATTCATCATAACCAAACCCTTCATTCATTTATTCATTCACTCATAGAATTACAATGTATACAAAAAAAAAAAAAAAAAAAAAAAAAAAAAAAAAAAAAAACAAAAAAAAAAAAAAAAAAACAATGAACAAAAATTACAATGTATAACCAAACCCCACAGAGCACGCCCAGCCCTTCTTCTCCTTGGCTACTCTTCCTCGCTGGATGCTAGATCCTCTTCTTCAACGCCTTCGTCCAGGGGGGTCTGGGCCACATCATCCTCGCCTATTGTCACACTACTCAGGTCCAAGACACTACTCAGCTCCTCAGCTCTACGCTTGAACATTTTCCAACCGCTGTCCCAGTACTCGGCCATTTCATGCTTATAGAAGTCGGACTGCTGGAAGCCTTCAATCACCTCTGATTCCGTCCTACCTCCAGCAGTCTTCCTTGACGGGCCCACCCCCCCAGGCTCTTGACCAGCCAGACTCCTGGCGACGGCAGCATCCACCACCATCTGAAATTCGGAGGACCCTTTATACTGCTCCACTGCTGCGACGCATAGATCAGGGTAGGCCGCCTTTTCAGACGCCGCCTTCGCCCTCTCCTCGTCCAGCTCCCTTTGCAGAGCCACCCTTCCAGCAGCTGCCGTCGCCCTCTCCTCTTCCATCCCCTTCCTCAGACTCTCTAGCTCCGCCGCCATCTTCGCCTTCTCCATCTCCCATTCCCTCAGAAGCCTCCCCTTGTCCTCCTCTGCTCTGGTGCGCTCCTCTCCCAGCTCCTTCAGCAGGTCTCCAATTCTGGAGTCCGCTTCATCCTTCTGCCTGACCAGCGTCGCAAAAAAGTCAAGAAATTTCAAACGTTATTAGCGACTGCACGGTGCCGTCGCAAAAAGGTAAAAAATGCCGTCGCAAAACATTAGCGACGGCACTTACCGTCGCAAAAACTCTTTTGCAACCCCTGCAGTTGCGACCCCCTCTTGCCGTCGCAAAATGTCATTTTGCCGTCGCAAAAAGTATTAGCGACGGCATTAGGAGTATTAGCGACGGTATTTTACCGTCGCAAAAAGTCAATTTTTTTGTAGTGTCTTTTGGTTCTCAAAATAATAATAATGATTATTCTCTTTTAATGTCCATAATCTATGAGGAGTTATTTTTAGTTTAACAATGCAACAAATTTAAAAAATAAAATAATAAAAAAAAATACTCAGATTTTTGTTTTTAGAAAAACACATTTATGAATTACAATCATTTTAGATATAACCAACATCCTACTAATTGTAAATCTACACCATATAACTTTATTTTAAGATTAATTTAAAATAAATTTTTATGATTCATAATATATCTTTTTTTGGTTCATCCAACACCATTGAAGATGGCCACATAAACACATAGTGAGTGTTTGGGAAGTGGATTTTTTTAGTTGTAGGATATTATTAGAAAAAAAAAATTTGTGTTTGAGAAGATAGTTGGATTTTTGTGGTTGGATGTGATATTTGCGGAAAAAAAAATGAAATGATTATGGAGTTTGATGTGATATTTTGTTTGGATTAGTTTTTTTTTTTAATTTTGTAACCAATTTGTCTTTTACTTAAAAAAATAAAAATAAAAATACCAAAAAACTTCCTTCCCAAACACCCCCATAGTATAAGTGATATTTTATGACACCTTACAATATTTTCTATATCGCAAGATTTTCTATTTTTGACTCTCTCGTGAATTTTCGACACAACTCTGACAACTTTTCAACGTATCTACGACGAGCTCTCAAAATACTTCCAAAATATAGATCTCAGTCTTTTAGTTTGATGCAGATTTTGATTTTTCAAACCACATCTATTTTCCTTAGATCATACTAGCTATTTTTTTGGTGGTTTTATATTTTATTGTTTATAATTCTTGTTAAGTTGTTTATTTGACTTTTAGAGTCTTGTTTTTATTTTTCTTGATATGTATATTGTTTACTTATATTTTAATATAACTAATTTATAATTTTCTCAAAAAAATCTCAAGATTATTTATTCAAATAGGTTTGTCAAAGAAATTAAATTTTTGTTTCTCTTCATAATAACTCCCCATTTGTTAATGGACTATCTTTTATAGTGTTTCAAAATGAGTAGCTTTCCCCAACAACAATATTTTTTAATGAGAAAAATAATCTAAATATAGTGATACTTTTTTATTAAAAATTTCAGTAGAATGAAGGGAAAATTTAAAAGGCATGCAATCTTCTTCTAAGAGACCTCCTCAAATCAACTAAGGTAATGTCAACTAGTAAATGCTGATTGAGCATGACAGCAATAATAACCCGTTTGATCTGTGGATTTTGCAAGAAAAAGAAGGAAATATAATGGGTATACATAGAATTTATATGATATTCCCCCTTTTTCATGTTTTTTATAGTACCAGTCATCAGAGGCTTGCCACATTTTCAGTGGGGCACAATGAAAGATGAAAACCATTAATAAATACCATCATTATACAAAACAATGCCCTCAAAACCGAAGGAGGAACACATTAATTCTGTGCCTAAAGATTGTACATAATACCATTAATAAAATAAAATTCAAATCCCAACCTGCTTGAGTTCCACTGCCAATATGATAATGACTGCATCACAATTAATAAATCAGCATATTTTTTTGCCCTAGTCTTGCACATGCCATAATTTGGACTCTTACTAAACACTGAACTCAAATACACAAGATTTGTGGGACTAATACCTTCAAAACAAATCATGCCAATGCATTGTAAATTTGTGATAGCTAATACATCGATTCCAAATAATTCATGCACCTGCACGGCTCCTAATCAAAACTAAAATAACAACAATAATGAAATAATAATCATGAAGAAGGACTTAGCTGCCTGCCACTGAAGCAACCATTGCACTTCCTCCCCAAACTCACCCAACATATTTATATGCCTGCAAAATAACCCATATAATGAAAAGCACCAAATTTCCCAACAGTAAGCATTTCAACACTGAAACCATAATCATCTAGCAAAAACACATCCATCAAATAATAATGCATACATTCCAACACAATATGCCAAATGATTAACAAGCTGCCCCTTTAATTGGGCTACCGGCTTCCAAAATACTCACAAGCAGCATATTTGTAAGGGTGATTGGATGCATGAATTTGAAATGAAAGGGTTTGGACACAAATCATTTAAGAAGAATATTTTGTTGTTCATATTTTGAAATTAAATAAATAGATTTATGAAGAAATTAAATTATATATATACTAAGAACACATGCTAATAGTTACAACTAAATTTCAACAAAAATACACAAAACAATAAAAGGGTAAAGACACGAAACCGAAGCTTGCACGGAAGCAGTTTCCTTAAAACAGATTTCGCCGCCTCACTGGTCGAGTGCTTGAGAAATCCCGGCGTCTGTCTCCCAAGATTCGACGGTCAAAACCAGCTACGGCAGAAGCACTATCTGTCTAGCTTAGCGAACAAAACAGTGGCAGCACTCTCTCACTATAGGAACTTTCAGGCAAACTGACTTGTGAAATGGAAGTAAAAATTTCTGTGTTTGAGACTTGACAGGAGGGTCTCAATTTATACATGTATAGGGGAGAGAGGAAGAGCCTCCAGCCTTTATGGCTGTTCATAATGCACCATTAACCTCTACAATAAAGGCAGGAGTTATAAACCCCATTAATGCAGGAGTTACAAACCCCATTAATGCTCTATTCAACTCTGTAATAAAGTCAGAAGTTACAAACCCTATTACCTCTTTCATGAAGCTAACTTCATGAGGCAATTTCTCATTCAAATCTCAATGGTTTTTGGCCATTCTATCTGTGGTGTAAAGATCTCAATGCAAAGTATCTAGACCCACTTGGACCCAACACAATAGATGGTTGGGACCCACTTTAATCTTTAATTAAAGTCACCAAAAAACCATTTTTTCCAACAATCCCCCACATGAATAAAAATTGACCGAATGACTCAACAAACGGACATCGTTCAACAATAAAGACTCTGAGAGAGAGTACAACGGACTGACCCCGACATCAGAGAAGGTAGCTTTTGGCTTTGAACCTCTCCCAGTGAAAACCTATCGAGTTTACTGGCTGATCAGTGAATAAGACATCTTGAACTGCTCTGCCGTTTATGTAAACTGAGACAATAGATCTCACACGAGAATTACTCCTACCACCATTCTGTTCTCACTGGTGTGCCCTGTGTGGCCCTGGACACTAGCCTGGTTCAGCGAGTGGTTTCAAAGAATCTTGGCCTGCCCAATTCTTCTAGAAGCGGCCCCACTTCACACTCACATAGGTGACTCTACTTGAGTATCCTGCTATACTCAGCTCAATAGCTTAACACACTAGAGTCATTAAAAGCTCAGCTTAACCTCTACACTTGCAGGTATCACTGATAGAAGGAATGACTGGAGGTTTAACCTCCTCAGTGACATACCACCGTTACACGCAATTAGGTTGTCCAATTGAACCTTGATCTTGGGATCTCCAGTCAACTAGGTTGGGTGTGAGTTACCCAGAAATGGCAAGGCCGGCTGATGCAACACCTGTAATTCTTCCAACCCACATCTCCAAAACTTTTCTCTTCGATCCAAACCTTCTTGAATCCAAACTGACTGGCAAGTCAAGACTGTTGATTCTTTGTTCTCCATCTAACCCAACCGGATTTGTTTGCCCGAGGAAACTGCTTGAAGAAATTGCTCAAATTGTGGCGAGGCATCCTCGGCTTCTGGTAATATCACTTGTCATGCAACTTTTGGTGCGTGTACTTGTAGAATTTTCAACTTAGTTAACAATTGAGTTTGGGACTATCTTTGGCTGTTCCTTTCAGGTGCTGTCTGATGAAGTATATGAACACATTATTTATGCACCAGCGACTCATACAAGCTTTGCATCTTTGCCAGGCATGTGGGAGAGGACTTTGACTGTCAATGGGTTTTCTAAGGTGCTCCAACTCTGTTTCTTTTAAGCTTCTTTTCTGTTTTCATGACATGTCTCCATTGTAGATCATTTTGATATGGTCATAAACCTCAAGTGATGAATCTCAGAAAATGTGGATATTTGTAGACCTTTGCAATGACTGGTTGGAGACTTGGATACCTAGCTGGTCCGAAACACTATGTTGCGGCATGTGGAAAGATTCAAAGCCAGGTATGCCATTTCTTGGCCTCTCCACACCCTTCATTTGTATTTGTAAACTCTTGCCTAGTTGTATTCTGTAACCTCCATCAATGTCTGTTAACAACTTAACATATACTTCATTGAGAATCAAGATTCTTGACTATGCTTAAGCTTTTGATGATACATTGGATTGTTTTGTCATGCTTTGTTATGGAGGTTCTGACCTAAAGATATGGAAAGATAAAATAATGCTCCTCTTGTTCTTTCTCACTGATGAATGTCGAGATTTGGAGCAATTGGATAGTTGAAATGGCAGCATATCTTAAGAAAGTTATTCTGACTACGCGATTCGGAATAATTCTATCTGTTGCAGTCATTAGTTGGGCCTTGGTTAATCATGGATCAAAATGATTTGGACGTGATGGGAGGACTCCCCTACATCACAGAAGATGCGGAAGAAATGGTATGTGAAACTCCGGAAACTGCTTGTGAATCCGACGGGTTTCCAAAAGATGTTTCGGTTGCCTCTCTGACTCGTGATGATGAAGCTGTGATGACTTTTGCGGGTGAAGCTTCTGTAAAAGGGGCAGCTAAGAATGCTAGTTAGTCTCTCTTTCAAGTTTAACCTTCTCTTTTGTTTCATTTGTTCTGGACCTTTCTGTTTTCCTTGTTTGCCAGTGGTGTGAACTGCGTCCGTTGCTGCAATTGCCTGGGGATCGCCTCTTCTTGCTGAGTTTGTCTTGTGCACACCTCGGCCAACAACAATCCCATTTCACTCTACTAGCTATGTGCGTAGTAAGCCAACAATACACCCCACTCAACAACATTAACAACAAGCCAGTTTACCAGGTGCTAGCTGGAGGGGTATGGTACCCTTGATTATTAGCACAGTCAGTTCTCCAGGTGCTAGCTGGAAGGGTATGATACCTTTGATTCTAAGCGCGGTCAGTTCTCCAGGTGCTAACTGGAAGGGTATGATACCTTTGATTCTCAGCGCGGGGCACGACACCAACAATCACAGCACATCAAGGCATAACCAACATGTATAATGCATATACATAAACTATCAAGACACCAGCAATGCGTTAAAGTATATGAACACATATCTACCGTGTCATCCTCCACCGATGACCAAGGGCAACACCTCTAGATACATATAGTTAGTACATCTATTAAAAGACTCAAATTTCATGAATCAAAGACCCAACAACAATATTAACATGGTAGTTAAAGAAACAACTTCTACATGTGTGTTCAACACTCAAGATACAACAATCCAATTCTCAAACTTATTTCGAAAACACTTCCCTCATTTTCACAAAAACGATTCCATTTCCTTTTTGTTATCACAAAACCAACTCCACTAATCTTGTTTCCATAGAATCAACTCCAAAGCCATGGTTAATCCCTTAGGCATTAACACCCTTACCACACTCATTTGACGAAAGAGATTTACACACAAAGGTCAACAAACCCCCATTATAATTTACCCAACCAAAATATAATCTAGGGCTTTTCTTCTATTAACTACAACATGCTAATTTATATTCTAATTAGCCAAGCCAACAATCAATGAAGCCAAAACCATTCTCCACACAACCAACCCTAGGTTCATTTCATGATTTTCAAACAAATCCAACGTGGTACAATTTTCATGCAATATAAAAATTACCACATGTCTATCTATAGACGGAGTATTGAAAAAGAACAAGGAGAATCCCTACCTCAAATGAAGAACTCAAATAGAGAAGATGACTCGAAATCAAAGTGCTCCAAATCCCAAATTTCTTGGATCACAACGAAGCCCTCGACGATCAACACACTTCTTACAAAGGCCCAAGGTGAGGAAAACACTCTAGCTAGATCAATCCTAAGAGAGAAGTTAGGTTTTAGAGTGAGGTGCTCTCCAATGGAGGTTTTGAAAAAGTAAGAGAGAGAAAGGAAATCAAAAAGTGATCAAAAAAGTGATTTCACGGACTGATATAAAACAGGTCCGCTCGAGCGTACAACACCCCGCTCGAGCGTCAGACACAGGTTCACGCTCGAGCGTCCAAAGATCCGCTCGAGCACCGGATGCACTCTCCCAGAATTTTCTGCAGACGACCAAAATGCTGAGAGGAGGAAATTCACGCTCGAGCGTCCCAACTGCCGCTCGAGCGGAAAGGCAACAACAAAAACCCGCTCGAGCGTCAAATCGCCGCTCGAGCGTAGAGACCAAAACTTGGGCAAAAATTCTAAGTTTTAAAACACAACCAACTTATTCCCAACTTGCCCAACATAACCCAAAACTCTAACACAAAGAGTAAGGGATAGAAATGAGAATAAAACAACAACGAATCCACGGAACCGAGTCCGGATTACGGTTAAACAATAGCAGGGAATACCGGGATCGCTATAGCGCTTGCTTCAAACCATACAAAGATTTGACAAGTTTATAAACTTTCCTGCTTTGCCCTGGAGCTGAAAATCCTTCAGGTTGCTCCATGTAGATTTCTCATTCAAATCTCCATTTAAGAAAGCTGTCTTTACATCCATCTGGTGAATTTCTAGATTGCGCAAAACAGCAATCGCAATCACCATCCGAATGGATGTTATCCTAGTAACAGGTGAGTACGTATCAAAGTAATCCAGGCCTTCTCGTTGTATGTACCCTTTGATAACGAGCCTCGCTTTATACTTGTCAATTGACCCATCGGCCTTCATCTTTCTTTTAAAAATCCATTTGCAGCCTAAAGGCTTGCAACCTGGAGGTAAATCTACCAACTCCCAGGTGTGGTTTTGTAAGATGGAGTTAATCTCACTTTTGATCGCTTCTTTCCATAATGGACTTTCAGGAGAAGTCACAGCTTTGTGGAAATTTTGAGGTTCGTTCTCAACCATATAAGTTAAGAAGTCTGGACCAAAAGATTTGGATATCCTAGCCCTTTTACTCTTTCTGGGCTCATCTAAAACCTCAATTTGATCATCACCTGAATCATCAATATGATCATCCTCACTAGCAAGTTCATCAAATTTCTCCAAAGACCTTGGAACCCTTTCATGGGTTCGGCAAGGAAAAATGTCTTCAAAGAAACATGCATTCCTTGACTCCATAATGGTATTCCTGTGTATGTCTGGAATTTCAGACTTATGTACAAGAAACCGATATGCACTACTATTATGTGCATAACCAATGAATATACAATCCATGGATTTCGGGCCTATCCTAACCCTTTTGGGTGTAGAAATTGCCACTTTTGCAAGACACCCCCACATTCGTAAGAATTTATACGAAGGCTTAACGCCTTTCCATAACTCATATGGCGTCTTGTTCACCTTCTTCCGGGGTACTTTATTCAGAATGTAATTTGCAGAGAGAATTGCTTCCCCCCACATGTTCTGTAGCAATCCAGAACTTATCAACATTGCATTCATCATTTCCTTTAGCGTCCTATTTTTCCGTTCAGCAACCCCATTTGATTGAGGAGAATAAGGCGCCGTGGTTTGGTGGATAATCCCGGATTGAGTACAAATCTCAATAAACGGTGATTCATACTCACCACCACGATCACTTCTTAAAGCCTTAATCTTGTGGCCTACTTGATTCTCAACTTCATTCTTATAAAGAACAAACTTGTCAATCGCCTCATCTTTGCTTTTGAACAAATAGACATAACAATACTTAGTGCAATCATCAACAAAAGTGATGAAGTACTTATTGCCACCACGTGATTGTACAAATTTTAAGTCACACACATCACTGTGCACTAAATCCAACGGTTCTGAACTTCTTTCAATAGAATGAAACGAAGATCTTGTCAACTTCGCTTCAACACAAGTTTCACACTTGTGTTTCGGATTAATCTTAAAAGATGGTATGTGATCTAACTTGATTAATCTACGCAAAGATTCAAAGTTCACATGTCCTAGTCTACCATGCCACAAATTGGAAGACTCAAGCATGTAAACAGAAGAAGATGCATCTTTATTCATCTTTGGGATAATAGTCATTACATTGATTTAAACATACCCCCCAACATATAACCCTTACCCACATACACTCCGCTCTTGGTCAAAATGACCTTGTCGGACTCAAAAACAATGTGAAAACCATGTTTGCTGAGAAGAGACCCTGAGACAAGATTCTTACGAATGTTCGGAACATACAGGACTTCGTTCAAGGTCAGCTCCTTTCCTGACGTCAACTTCAGGACCACCTTTCCTTTCCCCTCGACAATCGAGGTAGTAGAGTTTCCCATAAACAACTTCTCACCAGTTGTAACCGGTTCGAAAGTTGTAAACAGCTTTTTCTTGGAGCAGATGTGGCGTGTAGCCCCAGTATCAATCCACCATTCTCTTGGGTTTGAACCTACCAGATTCACCTCAGAGACAACGGCAGACAAGTGCATATCATCCTCCTCATGGGAGTGCTCTTGTAAATCTGCCATATGAGCACGAGGTTTAGTCTTGTATGACTTCTTCTGCTTGTGGCAGTCACTAGCCCGATGCCCATTGCTACCACAGTTATAGCACTTCCCAAAGAACCGATTACTTAGTTCCGGTGGCTTGTAAGCCGGCTTCTTTGCAACACCACCTCTAGGCCCCAAATTAGAGGGCTTCTTTCTTATTCCAGAAGATTTGCCATGTTCAATGACATTGGCTTTTACTGAGGAGGTACTCCCTCATTTCTTTCTATTATCCTCCTCAATCCGGAGTCGGACAACCAGCTCTTCAACTGACATTTCCTTGCGCTTGTGCTTCAAGTAGTTCTTGAAATCCTTCCAACCATTGGGAAGTTTCTCAATGATCACAGCAACTTGGAATGACTCGTTCAAGGGCATTTCTTCAGCATGAATTTCATGCAAGATCACTTGAAACTCCTGGACTTGGCTTATCACAGTTTGAGAATCTACCATTTTAAAATCAAGGAACCGGCCAACCACAAATTTCTTTGCCCCGGCATCCTCAGTCTTATACTTTTTGTCCAGAGATTCCCATAACTCTTTTGCTGAGCTCTTGGAACAAAACACACTATAGAGTGAGTCTGCCAAGCTGTTGAACACATAGTTCCGGCAAAGATAGTCTGTCTGCTTCCATGTGTCAAGTGCCATGACTTTCTGCCTATCAGGCTCATTCTCTACCACGGCTGGAGGATCCTCGCTCAGAACCTTTGCAAGGTTTGGCGTGGTCAAGTAGAACAACATCTTTTGCTGCCATCTCTTGAAGTTCACCCCAGCAAATTTCTCTGGGCGCTCATAATGACTGAGCGGTCCTCCCGGAACAGCCGGAGTAACGCCATGGTTGACCACAGAGGTCACAACAGTAGGGGTTGGCAACCCAGTTGCCCCGGGGTTCAGATCCCCACCAACATTAGTAGTAGCAGCAGCATCAGTGATAGTTGCCATTTCGAACAAATAAAACCTCCTATTTTAGCCAAGGTTAAACACTTTGGTTTCTATTCCAGAAAACCAAACCAAAATCCAAACTTACAAGCAATTTAAACTTGTAAACAATTTAAAATTGCTACAACCAAATACATGCATATAAAATGCGTCTAATAAGCAAATAAAACTTGCTATTACAAATTGGTAAACAAACCAACTAAATCTCAAGTAAAATTTTTTTTCAAACATAAAGAAAAATAACCAATCCAATTGAGGATTATAAGTAGTCCATACAATTCCTTTCTACGCTTAGGTATGCCTACAAAGAGAGTTAGTAGAAAATGACAACATAATATAAAGC